AACAAAAGTAGGCACATCTATGATATAACGCTTTGCTTTATACCTATGTAGTGAGCGACTCGCGAGACACGTCGAGTAGAAGGCTTCTTATTTATTAAGAGCACACTGGGCGATACATTGTGTAACGCAGCTACACAGACGATCCTAACACGTAGCCTCATCTCCGGCTTCGCTACGCGAGCTGTTTGACCAGCACAGCGACGGCGAGAGTCTTCCAGAAGATCAGCCACGTGGTCGGAGACGAAGAGATGACGAGCAGCGACGCAGCCAGGACCCGCAACAGCCACAAACCGCTGGTTCGGTCTCCCTTATATCTGCCCAGGCGCGGTCAAGCTCCACCTCTGGCCATGCCCCCTTTCCAGAACCTTCGAGCTGGTTCCCGGAGCTTCTCGACTGACTCCGCCTTTCACCTTTACCCCAGATATGGCCCCCTTATAATAAGGCTTTATGTAATGCAGCCGTGACCGTAATTACCACTCCCAGCCGACAGGTGTCTAGCTGTCATTACACCTATATGGATTCCAGCCAAAGGTGTGAATCTATCAGAAGTTTAGATGCTCAAGCAAAGGGCCACTAGGGTAGGGAGGGTAGTGGCAGTTGCTCCCCACCCTTTAAAGTCTTTTAGAGGTCATTGTATGCAAAATACTATTTTAGATATTTTTCATGAATGTCACATTGTAAAAATAATAATGAAATACTTTTGCTGGAACAACAGCACGCGGAGCTTGTTGCACCACCGTGTGCAAGCACTCATTAATTCAACCACAATGAATATCAAAGCACTTCCACGTTGCTGCATGTGGGATCCGAAAAATATTGATTCCAGTGTGGGAGTGATGAAATATAGCAGTACTGGCTTAGCAGTGTCGGCCCTGTGCCTGGTCGTCCCTTTGACCATGCCTCTCTATGTTTACAAGATGATTTGGCACACCATTAGAGGGAGGATTCAGAGCAGGACACGGGTGATGTTGGCGATGAGTAACGGATATGGATTCCCATGGTGAGGACTGTTGGAGGCGTGCATGTGCTGTTTCGGCAGGGCTTGCCATCAACAGCAGATCCACAGATGTGTCTGAGCAAAGTCCTATGGGGAGCAGGGTGGAGTATTGGCTGTGGGCTACTAATTGTTCGTGGTAACAATGGAATTATACACTACTGGGAGAAAAAAAGTGTGATGGAAGTTAAATAAAGAATTATACAATATTGGCTTGTTCATAAAATTCAGAAAAAAGTTGTACGTTGTAAATACTGTTGTGTGGAGTTTATTGTGGCCTGAAAACCCTACAGACAGCGGCCTCAGAACTACCCTGCACCAAACCAAAATTTCATGTCCATGTGGGTCTACACAACAATGGATTTCACCAGCCACGATCAATGCTTTCCACCATTTGTGCACATCAATGTCCCACTGCATCAATTTGATGTTTTGCCCATGGTGTATGGCAAATTAGTGAATTCAACGTCTATTCTTACCTAAACAGTGAATTTGGCAAACACTGCCAGACCAAAACAACCTTGGGTGTAGTTGTAGGAAATGATAAATGATCTTAATATATTGTTTTTTAATGTCTAGTGACCCGTGAAACGTGGTCCCGCCCTGCTGACTATGGCCATCATCCAAGAATTGCAAATACAAAGCAACTAATGTTTTAACATGTACCGCTAAAATATGTAACGTCGCATTCTTTACGCTTGCACGACACTAGCCACACAAAATACCACCACTTGCACATTTTGATGGAATGCAATCGCTGTGTGCATTCGTAAAGATAAGGTACATACGGTTTATGTTAATCACTATTTCAAAAGCACAATGTGTCCAGCCGCTTGCTTCATTTTCACTGAGCGATGTTACGTGTGTCAATGTGGACAGGCCATATCAACTTTCTCCCCCCTCCTGGCATTGACTGTAGTGTAGCGAGTAACTTCAGCAACGGGTTTAAATTGCTCTATTATGATGAGCTTTGGATGCACATTGCACCTTCCCAGATACTGATCACCACAGCTCTTCCCACCGAGCTCAAGCTGGGCTGTGCAGGGCTCATTCTCCAGCGTGAGTGAGAGGCAGCATGGGAGCCACCGGCTCCGACTTCCACCTCACTTTGGCCAGGCTCTCTGGAGAGATCTGTACAATGCTGTGTTTCCATAGGCCATAGAACTCGAGTACTTATACAGCACAAAGATAATGAAAAGTTGTAGACTTAGAATACCAAAGACCTTAATTATCTTTCAAATGTGTATGAGAATGCATGATTTGGCAAGAAAAATAAAACACATTTTTAAGTAACCTGTATTTAATAAACTACTTTGCTTAAATTAATACTCATTCTGGAATGGGATACTTACTAACCGAGTACAGTATATACTATATATTTTTTGCCAAGAAAGAATTTCCATGAGCCGCGACACACATTCGTGTGTTTTCAAAGAAACAGTTGTACAAGCTGAGCAGTGTGCATCGGTGCTTTGGAACAAGCCACTGTAAAAAAAATACTGCCAATTAACTTGTAATCGTTAAAAGGATAGTGTGTTGCCCTCGGTAATGTAACATCCCAGGCTGCATGGGCTATAACCAACCAGCTGCGTTCTCAGCTTCACAGGTTTCTCGACCTCTGACTCCGAGCCTTGACCCCCAATTGCAGCGTAAGTGGGGGGGGGGGGTATACAATTTTCAAAAAGGTTTCTCACCCCTACCTCCCCCCCGAGTCACCCGCTTATAAAAGAGTCCTCCCGGCGGCACTTGCCGTGATAGATGAAGCAGAATCCAGTGACGCACATGATGTACGAGTTCGAACTAAATTGGGCAATGCTTTTCCGACGTGGGCACATAGTGTGTGCGTGAGCGCAAGGGCTTTCAAGAGCAGCGGCAATGTGTCAGGGCGGTCACGCAGGGAGCTATTCATCAGGCAGGGAACATCACAATTCGGTGAACCAGGCTGAACCCGAGATGCACCTTTGGACGCGTGCTTAAATTCCCTTTCAGGAAACAACCTTCGTTTCAAGATACTCGCCCACCCCGTTGTAAACATTTTGTGTCCCAGGGCACGGGTCCTGGATTAGCACCCTGCTTGTCAACTTTCGTACACGAACTGGCTCCGAGGCCTCGTGGTAGGAAACGAAACTTCGTGCATCCGTGCGGCTGATCGCCGAGGCAACGTTGTCGTTGCACTCAGGAAGCAGCGACGCATTTTGCGCAGACTGGCGTATGACAAGTGATTTACTGCGAATGTCCAAACGAACAGCCAAGAAGATCGTCTCAGAAAGTCGAGAGTACGGTTGGAACGTCTATGGAAATGCAGGAAATGAGTTTGGATAAAGTGTAAAATGTCATCCTCCCGTGGTCAACGTGTGAGCCCGCATTGGGTGAAGTTACATCAGTGCACGCAGCCTCTTTGGCAGTGCTCGTAAGGCTGCACATTTAAACAAGGTTGACTACAGTCTTCTAAAGGTAAAATATCATCTTCTTGGTTCTTTCGGTAAAGTCACGTAGAAGGGAAATAATAAAATAATAACAATAAAACAAAATAAAATACAATTCTCAGGACGTTTCGGCCACAACGCAAGCAGCCGTCCTCAGGTGAAGAACAGGGCTGTCGGAAAGACACGTTCAGACGTGGTGTTCATTCAGACGCTGTCTTTCCGACAGCACTGTTCTTCACCTGAGGACGGCTGCTTGCGTTGTGGCCGAAACGTCGTGAGAATTGTATTATGTTTTATTTTTTATTCTTTTATTATTTTCCTTCTACGTGACTTTACCGAAAGAACCAAGAAGATGAATCCCTGCAGTCACGAAAGCTTTAAATCGAAAATTAAATATCATCCTCACGAATCTTCATTAACGGGACTATGAATAAAATAAAAGTCCCACAAAGTCATACATCACACGGCTGTCAATGTTCTCAAAACAAAATTTCGCACTTTTTAAACACCGTAAAACGTCGCAAGCACAGCGTTGTGAATGTTGAATAAACAGTTGCCATTAAAAAGCAGTCGGACATTCTACCTGATATGTGCCTGTCACTTGTCGACAGCTAGAATATTGATGTGGAACCCTGACCGTGTGGGTCCCCTGTGCAACAGTGTACGGGCACGGCACCCTCTGCAGAGTAATTATAAAAACACAAACAGGACGGTGCTGTGGCTTGCTTGAAAGCTTGAAAAAAACGGGAGGCCAATAAATAATTTACCAGTGGCTATATTGCGTTGTGTGCTTAGCCTGGCATTTCATCGTTTACATTCTCTTACGTACAGGAACACCGTGGGGTAATTGCTGACATGTAGCACGTGCCAATTTACGGGAAATTGTGAAATGTAACATTTTCAAGTGACCTCAGGTTCAAACGCGTAAGAAAGAGCGGCGTTCGCGTGGCCATCGGCGTTAAATGCGGTTGACAAAAAAAGACAGCAATAACGGTGTGTAAACCATAGCAAAACAACATTCCACCGTTATACCTACCACAACAATCGCCTCTCCGATTCTTAGAACATGTCCTGACATCAGACACTGGGCTGTAGATGCCAGCCATGGCACAGTGCACTCCGCAGTTTTCCTGCCCAGAGCCTGGGGTTTGTGGATCGCTTGCAGAGAGAAGCTAATGCTTTTTCAAATTATTCTATCACCGACTATTTGAGAGTGAACCCTGAGAACGGAGACCTTTATGTTAACCCACAAGCAATACGATTCTCTAGTAGGTACTGTCATAGTAAAGGCACTCCATCTGGAGACTCACAATGTATTGGCAAAAAAAACGATAAGTGGAACCGACTGTCGACCCAATAATCATCACATCGCCCTTGCTATCTCTGTGCATCACTATTAGCATGGATCCTGCGTGGTCAAGCTCGAGCCATAGCTAACACTGCATCCGATTAATACCCGGCACTTGTATTTTTTGGTATTTCCTCCATGAGCACGAGAATCGAGTGAGGATCTGAGTACAGATCATTCGGCGAGCCTGCAAGCCACACTGACGGTGGGAACATAACCATCCACCCTAAGATGAACATTTTAATTTATTCACATACACATTCAAAATTATAAGGCTGACAATTAATTGATACAATGGTAGTTAGCTGACATCTGGACATTACATAATTACATAATTTAAATAAAACACACACACGTGCTCGCACGCCAACACAAACACATACAGGGATACGACGAAGTGCATGACCCTAATTTATCTCCTGTTGCAATAGCTGCACATTCCTGCAAAAACGCCGCAAATGCAACCTATGTTTTTCTTTCCCCAGGGTTCATATGTCATGGAAAATCAGACATGGGAGTGAGGCGACTTGAAAGGCGAAAGTCTTTAGAGTTCGGGAACTAGGTGGCATTTTAACCACATGGGTATTGAGTGCATACCTTTAACCAACACCTGTTCATTCATGAATTTGCTATTGTTTTTCCAATATATTATTTTTATTATAATCAACCGAGCATTGAATGAATGAGCAAAGTTTACATCGTCTAGGTGACACTATCAAGTGTTGCTGGTGCTGCTTTCTCTAGATGCAAGATGGCCGGGTGTGTTATTGTTAATCATTATTATATTAATAACTTTGTGTGTATATATATAAACGATCAAGTGTGCCCACGGATAATACAGAAGCAAAGAATTCTGGCTTCGGGCTCGTCTCGAACACCACGAAGAAAGTGGTGAGGTGTGTCAGCTGGCCGCCAACCATTCTGGATGAGCAAGCGCGAGGCCGTCATCGTCGCGCTACCGCGGCGCCGAGTAGCGCACTTAAATGACCGTATCTCGACGCCGCGCCTACATCCGTTGTCAAACACACAAACACGCGAGTTCATCGTCACGAAAGCTGCGGAGGCGGCGGCGGCGTTTCACACGGCTAGCTGTGCGAGCGAGTTGCGCAGGTCGGCCAGCTCGGAGATCTTCCCGTCGAGCGAGCGCAGCGACGCTTGCAGCTGGGCCCTGCGCGTGGCGTCGCGAGCGCGCCCGTCTGCCAGGCGCCGCTCCAGCTCGCGCAGCTGGCTCTCCATCTGATGGGCGCGTTCCTCGGCAGCCTGCTCCCACCCAGGTGTGGCGGGGGGGGCGGTGGGGGGGAGATACCGGGAATGAAATTTTTTGCCGTCAGACTCGACAAATTGTTGGACGATGCCGCTTTGGCAGAGTTGCACGAAAACATACAGCGACAAATGCTCAACACGTTCGGCTATAACACTGCCCTTAGGATTCCATAATCGGTGATGTTTCGCACACGTGCGGTGTGCTATGAAGAAGCACCATTGCCCAAAATGTCACCTATTATATATTTTCACGACTGACTAAAGGGCAATTCTTCTCAGCCTGCTCACCAATGACTGCGCAAATGAAAGCGTCAAAGAAAAAAAATTGCTTCTGAACAAATTCCAGGTCTAAAGATGTGATATCGACTTGACTCACATGCGACAAAGATTCCTCTTATACGTAGAGCAGGTCACGAAAGTGCTTCCCTCGACGGTGTGGACCGGAATCTCAGAGGTAGCCCTGTGGTATTTACTTCCACGGCTCATTTTCTAACACAAAGAGACGTAATGCTGCGTCTCGCCGTGATGGCAACATCACAATCGGGATTAAATCTGGGACAAAAGAAATAAAATAAGAAAAATAGGCAATTTTTACACTCACCATACATGGCACCGAATTGTGTGTATCAAGAATCAATAATTTTTGGGTGATGCAATTATTTGTAACGTTGCCTTTAGCCAAATAAATAAGGTGGAACAAACAGAAGATAGGACAAGATAGACAGAACAAATGATGTACGTAATGGAGACAAAAGAGATATTACAGGTGAGGCCGTATACATGAGACCGACAGTGTAGACTGTGCACACTGGACACAGAGTACAAACAAAATACTATAAACAAGACAAAAAAGAATAAATTCCTGCAATGAATCATGGAGGGCATGTCAAGGAGGCTTTCAGATGTGACAGGCCTGCTCGGAGAGCTCACGGTACCCTTGGCTGACTGCTAAGCCAGTATTGATGAGATCTTTGCTTCTTCCAGAGAGCCATCCATTATGATACAAACTTCTCCAGAGTGGAGTGTTATTGATCTCAGCGTTGAGACCAATTTTGGCACGAAATATCTCCTACAATGCGTCATTGTTTTTTCCACATTTGAGCGCATGGAAAATAATGAGACCCACGTTTTAGGTTATTGACAATTAATTTATCACGTAGTTAATAAACGTAAAGAAGCACATTGGCATACGATATTAAAATACACTATAATCGCGAATATGATCTGTATTGGAATAACGGAGCCACAAGAAAAATAACTATCACTCAGATTTCATTCTGACTTAAGCAGCTGCATGGCCAAACGCTATCCCAAAAAACTTTGCAACGAGCGAGCGCTGAGGATGGGAAGAAAAACAAACAGTCAGAGAACCCTAAAGATGGCGAAAAATGCATTGTAACTCCAGGAAGACGGCCCACGTGGCTTGAGAAGCGCCACGCTGAGACACGCCAAATCACCCACGTGTGCATTGTTGGCCACACATCCCCCGCTCCCAGTCTTTATTGCGGCAAAAACACCCGTGGGGGCCAAAATGTGGGAATGCTCTGAGGTCTGGATCAGGGACGGGAATCAGATATGCAGTTTCTAAATACTCAGGGGAGTTTTTTTTATGTTGTTGTTTCCCTAAACATAACAAGGGCCCACTGTGGTAAAACACGTGAGCTTCGTCCATCGAAGACCAAAACAAATATATAAATAACTCTGACATGCAAATAAACAATGCAGAGTAAATGCCGTTGCTGTAAATTATTAATAATGTGGTCCTCTTCTGCCAACGCTCTACCCTCCCATCAAGAGTGGCTATAAAAACGCATTGGGCAATTTTGTTTGGCGCCTGACAAAGCCACAATTCAGGGGAAGATTCGGTACGATGCGGTGGAGACACGTCGATACCGCCGGAGCCACGCTGTGGCTCATGGGATTTACTGTCTTGGAAAGCAATGTTTGTCGATGCCTCCTTCGATGCTGCACTTTACAAAAAATAACAGGTTACAAAAAATAACGGGCCAGGAGTAGAATCCTCTACTTTTTCAGTAGGATCCTGGCTGGGTTTGTTTTTCAATTCCTTATTAATATTTTCAGTAACAATCAAATTATTGTCATCCTGTAAATGTGCAATTGCAGGTTTTGCGAGAACTACCTTTAGCTTTTGCATGACATCCTCTTTCTGTCTGTGCACCTGATTAGAATCCTCTGACATCATCTTCAGCGTCCCCAGCTCCTGCCACGAACACAAAAATACACGCTCACGTGAGGCATGTCGCGTAAGAAAAAAAAAACACCACATTTCTGGGAGGCTCAACGAGTATAAAAGGTGAGCAGGCAGCACCTCACCTCCGTAAGCCCCACCAACTTTACATAGCCACCCCCAACTCAATCACTAGCCCTGCATTCACACGGAGTGGCCTCCTCCTCGCTCTCCCTGAGCTTGGCCCTGCCACCCTCAGGTGGCCATGCTCTTGGCCGGTATGAAACCAGCAAATTTTGAACCGCAATGAAATTACGATTTTTTCCAAAAGTCTTTCTGGACATCGGGACAGGCTTCCGGGAAACCGGGACTGCACTGGCCAAACCAGAGCATTCGGTAGCTTCACTCTCATGTGAACAGTCCCCGGCCAAACTCAGACATTTCAAAGCTTTCTGCTTCCTCGGTGAACGGACACTTGACGCGGGGGTTTACGAACGAAAACATCGAGCAGGACAACGCTGCGTCTCCACACACTCATTGTTTGTACAGCGGCGAGGGGGAGAGCAGGCGAGGACGTGCAGGTGGCTCGCACGCAAGCGGGGGCACCGCGAGCGGCCGCCCTCGTTAATGTCGACGCGCATGCGCCCACCTGCTCCCGCTCCGCGAGGCGAGCCTCCAGTGCGGCCACGCGCCCGCTCAGCTCCGCGTTCCGCACCGCCAGCGCGTCAGCCTCGGCCTTCCGGCCCTCCAGCTCCGCCACCTGGAGGGGGCAGCGTGGAGGGGTCACGGGGGGGGTCACGAAAGTACGTGCGCGCGCAGCGAAAACAGCACGAGCAGCGCACACCTGCTCAGCGGGCGCGCAGTGTGCGTCCAGCAAGGAAGGGGGCCTGGCGGCTCAAGCCTCCTTGGGGTGTGGGGATGATGCACTGGGATGCCAAGCTTGTGATTCTTTGACGACATCACTTGCAATTGCATTTGACAAATACCCTTGTCCGTTTACGCATTAGTACGATAGTCACCCCATATCTGTTTCATGTTTCTGTAACTTCTGTAATTTAATTGTAATTGCACTATAATTGGTCTGAAAATTATTTAACACCGATTAATGTTTGTTAAAAATGTTTGATTACTCGTGACGCAGTTGTTTTTGCTCTCATTTCTATTTGATTCATTGCTATAATTTTGCTTGTCATTTTGGTGACTCGTGCCACTCTAGTGAATGAGCACAAGAGCCCTCCTGAAGTGCAGTCTGTACCGTAATCCAGTACGTTTGAGATGGGATTGATAGGTGGATTGCACAAAATTCACCATGCAGTGTTATGATGATAATAACACATATTCTTGGTTCTTTCAGTAAAGTCACGTAGAAGGGAAATAATAAAATAAAAAAAATTAAACAATTTTTCTTATTTCCATTCTACGTGACTTTACCGAAAGAACCAATAATATGAATCCCTGCAGTGACGAAAGCTTTAAATCGATAATAACACAATTAATATCTCCTGGAAGACCACACAAAGCCTCAAGCATTTTTCAGCATCTGTCCCACATTTGGATGTTCAGCCAATTCCTTTTAAAACAACGCTTTGCAAATGAGACAAAAGTCAAATGCCCAAGAAAAAAAAGACTACAGGGGGATAACCCAAAAGGTCCGCACAGATGGGATCATGAACTTAACAGCCAACTCCTGGACTCCTCGCAACTCGGTGAGTTAGGGAGGGTTTGTAAATTGTCTTTGAGCCATGCATCAAAAGTGTTGGATTACAGGTGTACACCACCACACCTGGCTGATGCGGCCAGCAGATGGCAGTAGAGCAAGTGGCTTGTTGACATACCTCAAGGCACGTGGTGTTTTGTGTTATCCGTCGGGGGCATTGTCCTGGTGTTCTCGTTTCACGCGAAATAACCAGCCGCGGTTTCGCCCAATAACCTGCCCTGCCCGGGAATCCTCTTGGAAACGAAACGTTATCCTCAAGTGAATCTTCCCCGGGTAAATATTTCAAAGTAATATTTTTTTGTCACCGTGCTTGCCCTCTAAGCAGCATTTGCTGGCTATTGTTGAGGTGTACAAGGTACGTGAAGGTGAAATCTTGCAGAAACCTTCATTTATGTATGTATGTATGTACGTTGAACTTCTTTCGCACCGTACATAGCTGACCGTGCTGGTTGGAAGATTAACGCTCATCAAGGGTGCACGAAGGAAGAACTAAAGGAAGAGGCAGGTCGAACCTCACGTGGTAGAAGTTGGCTAGGCCAGGTGTGCATGTATCAGAAGTAGTGTGCTTGTATCAGAAGTTGCCCTTTGCTCCCCCAGCCACCCCCAAGTGTAATATGAGGTGCGTTCCTTATATTGTAACGGTGTTTATATTACGAGAGCTCTTATCTGTCCACATCTGTTGTATACAAAATCTCGAAGTAAAATGTGCTCTTTCTCAAGGGGAGCAGCAGATGGAAATAGCGTGCACCTCGGGTAAAGTTTGATGGCGTTGACGATGTTTAACAATGCCGAGCGATGGGAGATTTGGAGCCCCCTGCCCGGTTTGCGTATTCATGCGCGCTCGCTCTGGCAATCGTTATTCACCGAGATCAATTCACAAGGTGCCAAAGCAATCGGCGTCAAACTTTAAGTTGCGCAGTGGCGCTCTATTCTCTATCCACGGTGATCCACGCACGGATATCCCATTGATTTCAAAATAGCACTCTTTCTTCTGAACAGGTGATTGGATATTCAGAAAGCAATTGTCCATATCTTTCAAAAGGCGAGTAATAAAAGATGTAATACGTTCGTTTAAAATGGAGGAAGCCATGTAGGAGGCTCAGAAATGAAATGTAATTTCCCTATATTTCATCCCTATTAGTTTAACACCACCATGAATTTCTCCATGCAGGTGAAAAGAACTCAAGGACGATGGAATGCAGCGACATCCTGTAGCCGCTGCGCTGAGAACGAACGCATTTCTTCTTCTTGCCGTTGGCCGCACCTTGTGCTGAAGTTGCTCGCACTCGTGCCGGCACGCTGCCATCTCCGCTGCCCATGTTTCCGTGCGGCCCGGGGCCTGCATGCCAGCCACAGGGGCCTGCATGCCAGCCACAGGGGCCTGCATGCCAGCCACAGGGGCCTGCATGCCAGCCACAGGGGCCTGCATGCCAGCCACAGGGGCCTGCATGCCAGCCACAGGGCCCATCGAGAGGGGGCGGACCCCTTTGCTGTTCTGCGGGGGCCCATCCCGGCGCAGCACCGCCGCCTCGGTTGGCCTGCGCACGAACGCACGAACGCACGATCACATCCAGTCGACGCCTTGATTCGATGACGAGTATGGTACGCAAGTACGTTCAACTTTATTTCGCACCATACGTAGCCGACCGTGCTCATCGGTGGTGCGGAGAGTAGCGTGGCTCCGGCGCCGGGGGAGACAAGTAGCAAGGTCGAGTGGCGAGGCCTTGGGGAAACGGTGTGCCTGATCGCCGTTATCAAGTTGTCATCGCGGCTCCTCCTACTTGGCGGCTCACGTGGCCACGAACGCGATCAATTTAATTTTATCCAAGGCCACAGACGCCGCTGAGAACCCGTTCACGAAAAAATACGCGCCTCTGCCAAAAACTGCCAACGATGCACATCAGTCTCATTTTGGAAAGTGGGGAAAAAATTGGTCACTCTTCTCGATGTGCTAAATTGTGTAGGGGATCCAATATACAGAACTTGTTTGAAAGCAACTCCATGAATTAAATAACAAAGATTAATTTCCTACAAAGTGGGGATGTATTACAAATGCAACCATGCACACAGCTGCGCGCATTACCTCTGGGAAACAAACGTTCGCATATCGTTGTGCAAGTCAGTCCTACTTCACTTCAACTCAGTGGGTCATGAAAACCTAGAGATGCAGCCCTTTAGCCGTGTGCTTGATTGTGGAAAGGCATTCGGAATCTGTATTTGGCATACGGGCGGCAGGCTTAGAATGCCCTGGTTTATTACACACCAGGCACACACTTCACTTGCAAGTGGGGTTAGTGCACACGTGCGCACGTGTGTACGTCATCGCAACAGGACCGGGTTAAGCGGATCTCCCAAGCCACACGTACTTCTCCGACACCGGAGGGCGCGGCCTCTCGTTCAGCTTGTTGAGCCTCTCCAGCGGGCCCAGAGGTCTCGGTGGGAGCTTGCCAGTGTCCGTGGTGGAGGACGGCCCCGTGCCGGACCCCTGCACGAACAGAAAGCCAACAATTTGTCTGTAACCGGTGACCCCCCACGTGAAATGGGACAGGTTGCCTTGAAGTCACAACGTTGCTGCCCATCTCCCACAAACACAGGGGCTGGGAGGGCGATTCGTGTCTCGTAATGAAGCCGACACAAAATGGGACATCGGTCATGATGACATGACATGGTTAATCAGCTCCACATTGAGATATTAACCAGGCATTCTCTTTGTGTGGTGCCTCGAAAAAAAATTACAAATTTTGTGTCATCATGACATAATTCCACTAAAACGAGTATGGGAAATAAACAGAGGTCGGGAGCAAAGAGCCAAGGTTTGTCTGCAACTGACAGCTGGGATAGAGGAGTCAGTTGACCTGACTGCTCCTTGCGTACTTCACATGAATTGCTGTAGAACAACGGACGGTATATACGTGTGACAGCAGGCTAATGGGTCTGTAATTCCTCAAATAAGTTGTGTATCCTTTTTTTTTTCAAAGAAAAGTAATTCAGCATTCAATCCATGATGAGGTATTTCATTTAAATTGTAAACATTTCGTAAACAGGTCCTACTAATTTTGTTTAAACAACTGGATCCCGCTACGTTATTGATGTCCACAATTATTGCATCGAGTCTGGAAGCTTTTGTCTGCTTAACAGTGCAAAGGACAGATATTATTTCCTTCTTCAGGTGCGATATCTGGAATCTACTTTTCCTCTTCCTGCAGGACACACCACGAGAAGAGACGATGGCCGACGGACGCAACAGAGGACGGGACGGCAGCCAAAAGAGAGAAGCACCCAGGATTGAAAACCGCCGCTGAAACGGAGTGATGAGATTGGCTCGTGTGCAGGATCCGTGAAGGATGGCATCGGGATGGAGAGTCTTTCATCCAGTATGGAATATGTCAGTGATGGTGGTGGTGGTGGTGAACTACCACCACCATGCTTCAAAGTTCATCGGATTTCTACAGGATAAACATTTTGTTTTTATTTCGATTTAAAGCTTTCGTGACTGCGGGGATTCATCTTCTTGGTTCTTTTGGTAAAGTCACGTAGAAGGGAAGTAATAAAATAATTAAAATAAAACATAATAAAATTATTCTCACGACGTTTCGGGCCACAACGCAAGTAGCCGTCCTCAGGTCTGTCGAGGCGACAGCGTCTGTCGCCTCGACAGACCTGGTTTTCACCTGAGGACGGCTACTTGCGTTGTGGCCGAAACGTCGTGAGAATAATTTTATTATGTTTTGTTTTTATAATTTTATTACTTCCCTTCTACGTGACTTTACCGAAAGAACCAAGAAGATTCTGTTTTTAACTAGAAATTCCGCACAAATGTACGTAACGCATATACTCTCAATGGAACTGTCCTGTCTTGCTGTCGCGTGCTCCACTCACATTCCGGCTTTACAAAATGCCTTAACATTTGAATGCTAAATTTTGTATGGACAATGAGTGCATGGCACATGAAAGAAAGGCATTGCAGGGGGGATGATGGTTGCCTCTATCCCGTGTACAATCAATTTCAGATGAACCCCACAGACTACGTGTTTTCTCACTGCCAGTTAAATAACAGAACACTCAATACACATCTGCCAGTTATTTTGGTAAGATGTAATATATATATGTTTATACAGGAATATAGAAACGCATCGGGATATATTATCCCTTCGCGGTCCTCTCAATGTGCTTGTATTTTGCGAAATTGGCATGACCGAAGGTGTATGTATAACTTTAGAAAAACTTCTACGCTGTTTATTTTGCTGTTTTTATGGCCAAGTCCCACAGGAAAAAAATGCATCTAAGTTTTATGCATTCTATATTTGGTGCCTGGCGTTTAGACCAAACACACGATGGATTAAATGAAGAAAAAATATGTTTATACAAAATAGCATTTGTTATTTTTATTGCTATTTTTTAAATACGTTAATTTGTAAAATGTTCTTCTCCGGCTTAACGTTAATATTTTTGGCTATTTCATTATTAATTTACTTCCCTCGTTTAACAAGAGTGTGCGGGGTTCATGCAAGCTGGCTTGGTGAGCGCCGCTGGCAAAACTCCAAAGCAAATCATTCTTGGTTTGGTTGCGTGATTTGTGTGTTTAAACAATGTGCTTCTATCAGCTGTGCTAACAAAACAACAACCGAGGCTCAAAACACTCACACCGTACCTTGAGCCACGCCACCAGTGCTTACAGTACTCAGGCCAAAGTTGAGGGCATCAGAGAAACGCGTTCAGAATTTGCCCCGGCAGTGTTGGATTCGTCAACACATTCGCGGACGACCTCGGTTTAATTCCCGGCAGAGGTCGCAACCGGGTACCCGATACCCGTACCCACCCGATACCCGGCCTCCCGTACCCGGCCGGGTACGGGTACCTGTTTGCGACCCTGGTGCGGCCGGGTACGGGTAGGCCGTGAGTCACTGGTGAGTAACTGTTTGTCACTCATTTCCCAACGTCTTGTCTCTTCTCACAATTCAAGTTCCTAGAATCAACCCACCCGCGCCTGCAACATGGCTTCATCCCAGAGGTCGCAATCAGGTACCCGATACCCGTACCCTACCCGTACCCGGCCGGGTACGGGTAGGGTACAGGTACGGGTACGGGTAGGGTACGGGTAGGGTACGGGTACGGGTAGGGTACGGGTACGGCCGGGTACGGGTACCCGTTTGCGACCCTGGTGCGGCCGGGTACGAGTAAGGAATCAAAACCCGTTTGCGACCTTCTGATTCCCGGCCAAGGCTAACATCAGTGGCGAGTGTGATGCTACGCGGGCCAGGGTGCTCACCTTTTGTCCACCAACCCAGACTCACCAGTGTGGTCGAGTAAAGTTAATCGACCCCCAGGGCTTTATCCAGAAGTGGACTGCCAAAGGGCCAAATATTCAATCTTGACTTAAACAATTCGTGACTGCAGGAATTCATACTCTGAGTCTTTCGGTAAAGTCACGTAGATAGAAAAATGAGAAAATAAGAAAAAAATCAACAAAGATTTGTTCATGAAGTCATCCAGATATATATAAACACGGACACAATTTCAACCGAGAGGATGGGTACAAACTGAGCAATCATTGGAAGGACGTAATTAACCAGGTAAAGTCGCAACTGGCTGTGATGATTCCATCCTTCCTGCCTATGTTAGCAGTTATTTCCGACTCTTTGAGTTACATTACCTTGTTAAATGTCTCTACATTAACAGGCTAAATGTCTCACTAACATAGCTGCTGCTCCCTTTTCATCGATGCGGCGGTGGCGCTCGTTGTTTAATCGGCCGAATGTCTCTCATCAACACAGCCGCTGCTGTGGGAGCCGTCTCACATTGACACGCTAATCTCTAATCTCGACCAATGCAATGGCTTCAACACTGTAGTCGTGGGGTTACATTAACTGATTGACATGCTAATCTCTAGCAATACAATGGCCGAGGTGTACCGAGCTCTGCGATCTTACATTTACTTGCAAATTCCATCTCTAGCCCCGCCCACTTACCCTTGGGTTGTGCCCATCTCAGACCTTTATAACCTTTGGCTGCAGCAACTCTCTCGCTGCATTTCTTCCTGCCTCAGCAGTCTGCCTGCTGTATTTTTCACCTGAAGACGATTGCTTGTGTTGCAATCGAAACGTCGTGATTTTTATTATTATTTTTCTATCTACGTGACTTTACCAAAAGACCCAAAGAGGCCCAATACTAATTACGTATATATTGTTTATGTTTACATTGACACGAATGCACCCAGCATGCACGAAAGCGGTACAGCAAAGCGAGTAAATTTGGATTTTCTTTAGTAAATTGTGGGTACCCCATCTAATAAAATCCATCTTGCTAGCACGGAAAAGCACGCTTTGACAACAGCTCCAAATGCCTCGTTTCACAGGACTTGTATAAATATTCAGACTTTCATCCCCGATGCCCTGCCAACAACTGCTATGGCCTTAGTTCAGAATATTTTGTGTGGCCAATAATGGAGTCTTGCACACCCCTGGCAGCCACTAGTGCAGGTTCTGGCAGAGGAGCGAGTTCATCTTGATTCGCATGACACGGCTGCCAAAGCTGCCCTTTGCCCACATTTTTCCTCGAGGACTGCATGTGAAGGAACACGATTTAGCGGCTTAATGGTCAGCACGCTCACCTCCAGGTTCATGGCTTGTCAGATAGAATGCATGCAACGACTAGCTTAAAGAAACCACCTTTTTGCATGTGTCTGGCCCCTGGTAAAAGAGCAGGCTAAATCCTTTGGGAGCAATGAGGACCCCTAACACCTGACAGCAGTATCATCTCAAGTCAAATTGCCTCCCTGAAATGGAGCAGTGGTCATCTCCATTGGTGGCCCCGAGGTCAAGTGGTAGAAATTCCACATTGCTATGGTGGGTGACCAGCCCTACCATGGGATAACCACTGTTAAAAAATAAAAATAAATATTTAAAAAAATTAAAATAACTACATTTAATTAAATCACGACGTTTTGGAGGCAACACAGGCTTCCATCATCAGGTGGAACAGCCACAGCTAAATTACGTGACTTTACCGAAATAACCAAAGAGTATGGTTCCTTGCAGTTACGAAAACTTAAAATCTAGATTTAACCACTTTTCACTTCTGACAAAGCAGTACTTATGTTATCCATCCTAGAGGGATGATGGGCTGAGTCAACCTCTGATCGCTCGTGAGTGGAGAGCTATAACCGCCCGGTCAGCTTCTTTGCGCTCATGATGATAGTGAGGATAGTGGAGTATTTTGGGCTGGATGTATATAATAATAATAAGCATTCTGCGAAAGGCTATTCTTGTTGCTCTGTGTGTGCAAGTCGAGTGGTGGTGTCCATGCCCATACCGTGGCAGCGCCATTCACCCCGTCCTGCGTCGGCTGCTGTTTGCCCGCAGAAGCCTCCTTCATCTCCTCGAACTTCTGGGAAAACTGTAAAAGAGGTTGGAGGCAAAAGATGATAGGCTCACCGGCTAATTATACAGGAACATCATCACGGTCATTACACATTGCACAAACATTTCAGTAGACATGTCAGAGCAGCTGTACATTTCAGAATAGCCAAGTTTGCATGCATTTGCAGAATTACAAATTGACTTGTGACCACTGCTATAATTAATTCTATAGCCAGAGCATGGTGAATATTTAATGGGATCAGCCAGATGTTCTTTTTGAAGAACTCCCTGTCAGGAAAAGTAACTAAGTGTGATGCGAACTTGCACAGCCATCTATAGAAGGTTGCTCTTTAGAAAATGCAGTCTCCTGGAATATGTTCTGGATCGTTTACATGCCTTGTCTGCTCTTCCCCCCTCTCACCTCATCGCACGGTATTTCGTATCGAAACCGGCACAACTGCATAATATTTCAACCTGACGAAAAGACGAAGACTACGATCCTCCTTACTGTAGTCGACACAACTCGTTTGTCCGTGTAGAGTTTCGTGCATATTTCCGCATTAGTGCCACCGTCAGTGAACTAGAAATAACAACACGCAGATGTGCTCGCCAACAGCAGGAAGGCACGACTCCCATAATGCCCTGCCTGCATGCCAGGTGACCACCACGGTGCTTGTACAATGCTCTCAGCCTTGTCTAGACCACCAACTCAAAAGAGATCTGAAATTGTGGCCACATTATTGTTAAGTACAGCAACAACAAAACAAAGTTAATTGAAAGTGCACGCATTGTTCCTGATTTCATGAGTCTTGTTCATTAATTCTAGATTTGAAGCTTTCGTGACTGCAAGGATTCATATTCTTAGGTTTTTTCGGTAAAGTCACGTAGGTAAAACATTAAAATTAACAAAAGTAAAATAAAGTAAAAATCACGACGTTTCGGAGGCAACACAAGCTTCCGTCTTCAGGTGGAACCGTCACAGCCACGACAGCTGTATCAAGTAAATGAGAGATTGCAAGAGCTACCACTCCATTTATATAATGGTTGGAGAGGGGGGAAGGGCCAAGTACGGCACACTTTTTATTTATATGGTAAGGTGAGGCTTAAGAGGGTGAGCCTTTGTCATGGAGAGGTACGGTTTGTTTACGGGGTGCCATGGATGTGATTTGTCGGCAAACTCCTGCACCAACCTCCATGAGCAGCTTCTCCGAGTTGAAGCCCAGCCCGAACACCGTGTTGGCCTTGCTGTCAGCCCACTGGCCAAACTTCTGCGATGTCTTGGTGAACTTCATGCTTGGCAGTATAGTGCTGTTGATGATGACCTGCCCAGGCATGTGTACACAGCCTCGTTTAGACAGCAGTTTATATCTTTATTGCCCTCCACCTTGGTGAAGAACTCAAAGTGCACACAATTCGCAGCATCTGGTTTAAAAGAAAAAAACTTTTCATACCAAAAATTAAAAAAAAGTTGCCCGGACACAGCGTCAAAAATATATTTGTTCACTATTTTTCTTTTAAATTAAAAAAATATTTTCCACAAAAGGCAGAAAATAGTATGTGTAACGTACACCCCAACAATCTAGTGTTGCTTTAGCCTTTATTCAAAATACTGAAGTGCAGGTAGGTATACAAAGTAAACACAGATTTGGAGCGTACAGGAATAACACAAAGAATAACTTGCGCCAGCAGCATGAACCACACTGGGGCAATTTTTTTTCCTGATCCAGTGTACGGGCTGATGCTGCACGCGTTACCGAACGGGGCGGGGGGGGACGCAGGAGTTTAAAACTCACACGCATAGCCCCGATCTACACCTGAAGTATCCAAGCAACATTTAAGGCAGCATGTGCTTTGAATTGCAATGTATGAATGAATAACAGCATTGTCTTTGTGGCCAGGTGTGGTTTTTTTTGTTATCATCAAGGAAGAAAAACCACGCATATGTATGGTTGCTGTACCCACGGGTACCGTTTGTGCTGGGAAGTATGTTACTTGAGATAAGTTTTTGTTTGAAGCCGCATAAGGAGATGATGTAACGCGGCGTGCGACATCGCAAGATGGCGTCACACGTAATGACATCATCAAGACATGCCGTTACACACAATCACGTCGTCATCACGGCCGACAAGGCTCATCTTTTTTAGTGCTGGTTATTTATCCCCATCTTTTTTTATCACTTTGGCCGGTGTTCTACAGAGTAAGTGGGGCTAACAGTAAAATAACTTTAGACTGCAATTGTGGAATGCTTTGACGTTGTCCGCAGGATGAGTCGCCCTGAAAGATGGTTTCTTAGCTCAATGGGCTTCACTCGGGAAATAAACTTTCGATTGTGATACTGGCCCATCTCCATACCTGTCAACCCCTCATCGGTGCCGCTACCTCATTACAGACCAATTCAGACCTTACTGGTCACCCCGTGCCCTTATAGATCTCAACGTTCATCCTACAAAGTCCCATCACAACGGAGAAACACAAACAAATATATATTTTTTGCCCGTATTGAAATGGCTATACGCTGTATAGACCTGAAAACTCAATTTCCCTTTACAAGAATACGGGTAAACCGTATGGGTTGAGAGGTATGCATCTTCATGATATATCATAACGCCCTGTCACAGACAGACAAAGAGGACAGATTTACGCTTTCGGCCTTAGTTAAATTTGGCCAAGGAACTCAAGCAGCACACTTCTGAAAAAGTTTTGATGCTAATTTGAGGCTTAAACTGGGATAGAACGCAACTGTTGTTAGCGCTTACCGAAGAGCACTCACGAGTAAGAGTCTAGCGAGGATTGGGAAGTTACTCGTGCATGGTTTCTGTATCCCCTTTGCACAAGTGGACAGCAGAATTCCATTGGAAAGAATGTCATTTTTGCGGCTTTTATTTCTACTCTAATTCATTCAATCAACACGCGCCCACATCTGCGATGTCCGTGTTGGAAGTGCGGTCAAAGACAACGGCACGAGCGCTGAAACGCCCACGAAGGGGCGTTGAAAGAAGCGCATTTCAACTCAAATAATCACGAAGCGAAGCAGCACTTGATGATCGTGAGAGAGCCACCAGAATAGTAATAATAATGCTTCATTGTATATAGTGGCATTCATGCTAATAGCATCCCGTAACTCTGTACACGAATTATATTTGAGGACCAATTCCCATGTACAGCCACTCCCCAAGTAAATGAAAACCCTACTACCAAGCGAAATCTAAACTGAATAAACAAAATTAAGAAATGGCACAAAAAGAAAACAAAAAGCACAACAAATAAATTCGTCCATGAGGTCGCATCCCAGACCACAATCCCAACTTCCCAACTGAGTCAGGAAACCTACGCAGGAGCAGCAGTGGTGGAGAACCAAAAAGAGCTGTGACTTATTGACATCAATCTCGCCCAATGTCCAAAAAGCGATGACCTTTGTTTCAGCGAATGCCTAGATGACGGATATCGCGCTCAACGCCGTGTCAAGGAGAGCAAGGGAACCTGAAGAAGACGCAACGCATCGCTACCGGAAAAGACCACAGCACGACGGAACATTAACGGAGGGACGGCAGCTGACGCACACCATACTACGGACAAAGTGAGGCGCCATGGAAGAGGGGTCCGTGCCGAGAGGTGAGATGACAGCCCAAAGTACAACCACTATGCAAAAGATAAACACGGAGGGGATTTTCCACTCAGTTGTGGATTTGTGCTGGACGACGCGTGGCAAAGTGCTTTTCCTAGCCCACAGAAAAATACGGCTCAAAGCACTGCCTCTTAATGTACAGGGTTAACAGCAGCATGTTCATCTTCTTGGTTCTTTCGGTAAAGTCACGAAAAAGGGAAATAATAAAATAATAAAAATAAAGCATTATAAAATAATTTTCACGACGTTTCGGCCACAACGCAAGCAGCCATCCTCAGGTGGAGAGCAGGTCTGTCGAGTAGACAGACTCTATCGTCGTGAGAATCATTTTATTATGTTTATTTTATTTTTTCCATTCTACGTGACTTTACCGAAAGAACCAAGAAGAAGCGTCGGGTAGGTGAAGAAAGGACCCAGGAGTGGATCGGGTATCATTACGAACTGCTCATGCTGGCCGTGGCTATGAATTAAACTCAGCTCACCAAGTTCATAGCTAAAGCGAGCTAACCACTGCACCACTGCTCTCCCACGTGTTATTTTAGAATATATATGCAAATGTATACAATACAAACCAGATTTTCCCTCCGTATGGCAGTACAACTCAACTCATTATTGCAAGATTACAAGTTCAAATTCCGGAGAGGGACTGACTCAGACTATGATCCTTAATGGCTGGCTTAGTTAAATGAGTCGAACACTCGGGGAATTGTTACTAATCTTATTGACGCCACAAAGTATTACCAACGTTATGAAAATCTCTCATCGTTTATTATCTGCGGAGCGAAATATGGCGGAAAATGTTTTCACCTTTCTACACAGCCCCCCCCCCCCTCCCCCATTTCATGGCTCAACGTCCCCATCGTCGATGATAAGGCACGTGTCAGCTGCCATTCCTAAGTAATCACGTGTTGCTCTTTAGCCTTTTCCCATGACAGATGCTGGTCCGTTCTCATACGAGAGACTGGCATCCGCAACCACTGGCTCAGGAACACCCACGAATATTACTATCACTTCCCGTGTGAGCAAGCAGACACTCATTGCTCGATTGTGAATGATGAGATAAAACCATGTAAACTGTGAGATTATGCTTAAAATAACACAATTAACTGCTCGTGGTGTTAACCGGCACGAGCCTTTGAATGGAATTCTCCGCAGCCGAACAAATGATTAGGCCGCTGGAGCCCTCCCACGCGTGTGTGTCCGCGCGTGTGTGCGTACGTGCGTGTGTGCGTGCGTACGTGCGTGCGTGCGTGCATGCAAACCGTGCACCTTGGTGCCATCGATGCTGATGATGCGGTGGATGTTGCGCACGGCATCGTGGTAGAAGGAGACCCGGACCACCTGCTGGCTCACGGGCAGCCAGGAGCGCTGCGTCGTTGGGTCGATCTGGAACACCTGCGCCTCGGACGAGAATACGGGCTGCTCCCTGAAACACAGCACGCACACGACGGGACAGCGTTGGTGCGCGGACAGTGCCAAAGTGTCTCCTGGTCCCAGACGAGAGCTGTGACTACACTTATAAATCTTCTTGGTTCTTTCGGTAAAGTCACGTAGAATGGAAATAATAAAATAATAAAATAAAGCATAATAAAATTATTCTCACGACGTTTTGGCCACAACGCAAGCAGCCGTCCTCAGGTGGAGAACAGGTCTGTCGAGGAGACAGAGTCTGACTCAAATTCAGACTCATGTTTTATGTTTATTATTTTATTATTTCCATTCTACGTGACTTTACCGAATAAACCAAAAAGATGAATCACTGCAGTCACGAAAGCTTTAAATCGAAATACACTTATAAATACAAATAAATGTTTAATTCATCAGCTTATTGTATTTTTGGACTACATCTGGCTGGATTTATTTAAGCAGGCAATCAAACTCTGGACCAGTTTCGAACTTCTGGGTCTCGTGAGCAGAGTCAGGATTGTTAAATCTTTGCTGCTGGGTAACCAGATGTCACTGGCAACAGCACTCCAACTAAATGCTGGGGCACCTGCCCAACACAAAGAGCAATATTCAACACAAACTCATTATGCGTTATCGTGGAGCATTATGGGTAAAACACATGATAACAGAACTCTGTTCTGGGCCTCCACATAATAATAAAATAAATTGACAAGAATAGACACAACATTGTTATATTTGATTTATCTGTAGATGCACAGAATGGGGTTCTCCTTATATATTTTTTGACCCATAATGATTTTTTTAAATGTACTTGTGGATTCTCTCATCAGTGGCTCTGAGGTGGCAGGTAGCTCCGAAAATCAGATAACTTCACAGTAAAAAAAGAAGTCATCATCATCATCATACAACCATAAATATGGGGTGTGCTTGTGGGAAAATGTGGCTTATATATGTAATCAATCAATCAAGGGTTTTTACACAGACAGCACATGAAATTTAAGGCAACATCGCAGCGTGGATAAAATGGTCAGTTCACCGGGGAACGCCGGGCACCAAGGTGTAAAGCTGTCTGCCGTGTCGTGAGATTCTGCTGTGTGTCGTGTTCAAGTTGCAAGCTTCCTCCCCGTGAAGGCGATTCACAGGTGAGCAATACTACAGTACAGGCTTTCATGATTATGCTGTATATCTCTCTGCATTTTATGAGCATTTTCTCACCCATTTAGAAAGGTTGATAAACGATTACAATCTGAATGAGACGCATAATTGGTCGATATGCTACTCCCATGTAAAAAAAAAACCTCTTCAGCATTACACTCATGATAATGTATGTCCAAAATCGTTTAGCTGTCCACTTCAACATTCCCAACTGCGGGAGCCAGTTTCTCCGTAGGACAACCACTAAAGACTTCCCACAAAGTGCCACGTATCTGAAAACAACCCTGGAGGGACGATTGCCTGAGTTGACCCCTGGCTGAGATTCTGTACCGGAGACCTTCCAATTGTGAGCCAAGCGCTTTCACCACTTAACAGCAGCCCAACCCAACCGGATATTCGCAACCCAGCCAAATATTTACCGTAAAAAAAATATGCAAGTGCCTCTAATAATATTGCCAGTAGAGTGGCACTGCTTTCTATGCGTAAAATTAAGTCAGTGGTCGGGGACTCCATATTTCTATAGCAGGGGTGCAGTATCAGCAGGTAGTGCTCATTTGACTGACTCAAGATGAGTGTTGATGGTGTTGAGGTGGCCTTGTCTGGGATTTGAACTTTGCAATTATGACGGAAAGCCTTGCTGCTCAACCAAATGTGCTACTGCATTTCTACGACGACGACGACACCTGCAGGCCTGTGGTGTAAGAAGCCTCTAGGAAAATCGGTGTTTCTCCAGTCTAAATAATGTCACTCAGATCCTGTTAGTGTTGATAAATTATGTTGAGCTATGTATGTAAACGTATAAATGGGAACTCTCGTTGAGATGGCATACCTTCTCGTAGAGACCTAGTAATGCCAAACTCCCAGCGACTTAAATATATCAAACTTGATTTGGAGCTTGACTCAAATATATGTTACAACTGATGGTCGTGGTTAGGTTCAAGATTCAATCATTTTATGTCCCATTTTCACCGTCACATTTCAGTTGTTTTCATTTTCTTTTCTGCAGTTCTGTTCAAGAATACAGCAATTTCCGTACCATTTACATACAACTGACATAATAAAATGGACGGTCGATTCTTATACACCCGAATCTACGAACGCATCGTAAGCTTACGAATCGATATTAAATTGATTAATAAATGCATCGTGGCCTTGCCCAACACCTACATTTCATGTAAAGCAAAAGTTATTTTGGCGATATTTCTTCGGCAGTGTTGCAGAAGCACAAATCATAAAAACCTCAAAACGTTCCATCAATAACGCTGCGGCCTTCAAAGGAAAAATATATAAAAGGTGACATTTCGGGCAATTGAACCTTATGGCGGGACCCTGGGGTCCCATTAGCCCCCGGCTCTCGCATAAACTTTGTTGCGACGTCAATTTATGCCTGTTGAAAGCGAACGACATGGAAATCTATTCCTCTCGACGAGCTCTACACGATGCGCTAATCAAAGTTTTGTTCATGACTACGGCAAATTTTACAACGACGGGTGCTTGGTGAAGAACGAGAGGACTGATTTTTGTTGGGTCGCGGCGTTTATGTGCGCGGTGGGACGGAGTCGCCAAAAATAAATTTATTAATTGCGATTTTGACTTCTGTTTATAAAGTTCAAATGCCCTTCTACGTAAATAGAGCAGCCAGGGAGACAGAGTGGCAGCAAATAATAGTAATTAGTAATAAGAGTTGGAGACTGCACTGTCCACCATGGGGCCTGCCGACAGTAGCATTTAAAATATATTTCCTGATGAATCGTTTAAAATGGAATATGAATATTAACCTATAATCGGAAATTGTTTATCGTTTAACTCTTATTATTTGTAATAAAAATGTTTTAATACTCCACTGAACGCATTTCTGTCAAAAATAAACCCACAAAATGTTGCTGGCAACGTAATGTAGATTGTCGAGAATGCTAAACTGGTGTGATGGTCGTGCACGTGCACGACTCGTGAGACAATGTACGATGTATCTGTTTACGCGAGGGGTTGGGAAAAACTTTTGAGAATTCGATACTAAATTAGGTCATACCGAACTAATGGGTTTGCTTATTCTAAAGCCCCCCCCGTGTGTACTAATTATAGGATAATGGCGCTGACGTTAACAGATACTGTAAACACTGCATAATACGTTTGATCCTTCGCCTATTTTTAGGGTCCCATTTGCTAAATTCTGTTTTGCAAATGTTTACCCGGGCAATATGGCACGCGCCTGCAACGCAGCGTTTTTGTGGAGTTAAGGGTTGGTGCATCACATAGCAACCATCGTGTGATGATAATCACAATACGACATTTATTTACCCAGCAAAGCATAGCAGCGTCTCTCAAGACTATTTCAGGAGGTTCCTGAGGCAATGGGATTCTTGCTCGAGCCCATGAGTGGGCAGCATGTGGCAAGAGACTGGACTAACTTTGCGAAAACTCGCACAGACAATGGGGTAACGCTCAATATTCCGCACACTTAGATACAAAATCAAATTGTTCTGCTGTCACCCCCTGGCCCCCCCCCCGCTTCATCCCAAGCCTACAACACCTGCTATTCCCGCTCACCAGGTTCAGTACCCCGAGCTTATGAGATACGATGAGATCGGATATTTGGGTGTAGGCGACTTGTAAACAGACAGCCATTGCCAATCTCTCTCCGTGTGTGTGTGTTGGAGGTTCTGAGTGGTGTCCCTCATATGCATCAGGCTCCTTTGCGTAGTGCGATTCCCTCCAGCAGGTGAAAATATACAAATCCTGAGACTTCATTCTAGATTTTACCGAGTTAATTGCATCCTCAGCGTTGAGCAGTGCGGCTATTGGTTTGTTTTGAGCGCCATCATCTGTTTTGACCGCAACCCTTGTTGGCGGTTTGCTCTTCCCCCCCCCCCGCTCACCTCCAGGCTCCGTATCCACTTACTCCTAGCCCCCCCCCTGCCCAGTCCCACGTCCCAGTCCCTAGCGCACACGCAACGCTCCCCTTATTACCCCCCTACCTCACCCCCCCACCGCCCTATCTGACTCATACAAACCCCTTAACTCCGGCAGCTCTCCCACTTCAGTAAAAATAATTTCTTGCTGTGGTTGTCACACCTGATGACGATTGCTTGTGTTGCAATCGAAACGTCGTGATTTAATGTTTTTAATTTGATAATTTTATTATTTTTATTTTATAATTCTTTCACCTATGTGACTTTACCGAAAGAACCAAAGAGTATGAATCCTGAGACTCTCCAAAAAAAATAATTTGAGGCTTTTCTAGCTAAAGCAATGTAATGAAGCACTGTGTTCATAAATTACCAGGTACATTAAGGACACCACTCACACACAGAGACTCGACGGCTCTACACATAAGGGCACAGCACAGTGCTGTGGTAATGTACTGCAACATTCAAATGTACTAGAATACAAACATGCGAGTGTAGAACTTCACAGTCACTCAGTTGTATCCAGAATTGAAAGCTGCCACGGACATCGTGACTCTGTCTCATTTGTTCTCACTCACACGAGAGTCATCTTGACCAAACATCCCTCGTGTGACGTTTATGCTCATCTATCATTCGTGTTTTCCGCGCACTGCACCTGAACTCACGACCTGATAAAATAAAATGTTGAGGAGCTCAAATCTTCTCCCCTTCTTGGAGCCCAGGAGCACTGAGCTCGGAATTCAGTCCGCGGAATTTCTGTGACCCCCACTCCCCCCACCTCCCCTACAATGGTTCGTGCCCTTCACCGGGTTCTTGTCAAATTAAATAAATAAAAACTATTTTTTTAAAGTTGGAATAACGATTTGATCGCTTGGTTATCGGTTAAACGGCGGATTATGTATGGGAAAAACAAGTTTATGATTAATGGCCGTGCGGGGTGGGCAAATGTGACCAGATG